TGGTGAAGATCTTTTCCCAGTCTGTGGGCTGCCGTTTTGTCTTACTGACTGTGTCCTTAGCCTTACAGAAGCTTCTCAGTTTCAGGTGGTCCCATTTATCAATTGTTGATCTCAGTGTCTATGCTACTGGTGTAATGTTCAGGAATTGGTCACCTATTCCAATTAAGTCAAGGATATTTCCTGCTTTGTCTTCTAATAGGTTCAGTGTGGCTGGATTTATGTTGAGGTCTTTGATCCATTTGGACTTAAGTTTTGTGTATGCTATAGACATGGATCTATCTGTAGTCTTCTACATTCCAGCATCCAGTTATTCCAGCACCATTTGTTGAAGATACTTTCTTTTTGTGTGTGTGTGAAAGAAAGCACCAAACACATTCGCATTTATTTTCTTTTTTTTTAAAGCAAATGACCAAGACCCAAATTACCAGATTTTTTTAAACCTAAGCTTAAATTACATATTTAAACAATTGTCAGAACTGATGAATTTGCCAGCATCCCTGCACAACTAGAAAACATCCTTAATTTACACTAAACCAGAAATGTGTTACCATTGATGCAGTAATAGCTTTCATTACTAAATACTGAAAATAAACTTGAAATATTTCTGTAGAGGTTTCATCTGGCAATGTTAATGTCACAGCAGGCTGACACTACTCACTCACATTTCAACACAATGGGAAGCAGATCCATGCTGGTGTCAAAGAACAATCTTGTCCTAGCACTACTCAAGAGTCACAGGGCTCACCTCAGATTACGTCTTGTTTTGTTTAAAGCAAAGTGCATACAGAGATTACAACAATTTTAAAGACAAAAAAAAAAGTGGTTCTATTTTGTGGTCCCAATAACAAACTCAAAAGTCTATGACAAATAGGGACTCCGATGAGTTGTTTTATAAATACTTTAGATTAGGTACAGTTATACAGAAAGTCGAGTTTGTTTGAAATCTTCAAAAAAAAAAAGTTCCTGTTATTCCTCAAATGGTGCTTGTTATGGTTTTAACATTTCTGTGAAATGTGGCGTTGAATTACTTGTTATCCAAGCATAGCAGGTGCTCCTTACCATTTATCGTCAAGGACTTTAACTGTCCATCTTCTTCAACTTCTACTCTTTCTTGACCATTCTCCACAATTCTCTTTGTAGTGATTTTTTTGCCATTAACAATCTTAGTAGAAGTTGATATTGATTTGGAGTTGCCCATTCCACCGCCACCAAATGATGCTGAAGAGAATGACGTGAGACCCCCATGCCCTAGTGACCCAAAAGAAGTGAATCCTGTATCAAAAGCAGGAAATCCACCTCCAAAAGAAGGAAACCGCTGAAGGCAGAGAAAAACTAGCCTGCACCTCGGTTTCTATTTCCTCGGGAACCCCTCTGGTTCCCAAAAAGGTCATCAAATGGGTCTTCAAAGAAGTCAAATGAAAATGGGTCCCTTCCACCAAAAAATTCCTGGAAGACATCATCTGGATTCCAGAATGTGAAGCCAAACTCAAATGGACTGTCAAAATGACTTCCACCTCCTCCCCCACCACCATTTAATCCTTCTTTGCTGTATTTGTTATAGATGTCCCGATTTTTTGCATCTGATAACACCTCATATGCCTTAGCTACTTGTTTGAATTTCTCCTCTGCCTCTTCTTTATTCTCAGGATTTTTGTCTGGATGCCATTTAAGTGCTTGTTTCTGTTACGCCTTTTTAATATCCTCAGGTGAGGCATGTCTCTGCATGCCCAGAACTTCATAGTAATCCTCCATGTTTTAACAGATTGTTGGAACAAATCAGAGGACGCAGAGGTGGGGGTGGGGATGTCGGGCAGCCGGTCTCCTCCCAGCTCTAGCACAGCTGTGCTGGTGGCAGTGGCGGTGTTGAAGATGCTTTCTTTATTTCATCATATAAGTTTAGCTTCTTTGCCAAAAATCAAGTGTTCATAGGTGTGTGGGTTAATATCGGGGTTTTCAACTCTATTCCATTGGTCTACCTGTCTATTTTGTGCCAATACCAAGCTGTTTTCAGGACTATAGCTCTGTAATAGAGCTTGAAGTCAGGGATGGTGATGCCTCCAGAAGTTCCTCTATTGTACAGGGTTGTTTTGGCTATCCTGGGTCTTTTGTTTTTCCATATAAAGTTGAGAATTGTTCTTTCAAGGCTTGTGAAGAATTGTGTTGGGATTTTTGATGGGGATTGCATTGAATCTGTAGATTGCTTTTGGCAAGATTGCCATTTTTACTATGTTGATCCTACCTATCCAAGAACATGGGAGATCCTTCCATTTTCTAGTATCTTCTTTAATTTCTTTCTTTAGAGACTCAAAATTCTTACAGTACAGGTCTTTCACTTTTTTGGTTAGTGTTACCCCAAGGTATTTTATGTTGTTTGTGGCAATTGTAAAGGGTGATGTTTCTCTGATTTCTTTCTCCACAAATGTATCATCTGTATATAGTAGGGCTACAGATTTTTTTTTAGTTAATTTTGTATCCTGCCACTTTGCTGAAGGTGTTTATCAGCTGTAGGAGTTCCCTGGTAGAGTTTTTCGGGACTTATGTAGACTATCATAACATCTGCAAATAGTGAAAGTTTGACTTCTTCCTTTCTGATTTGTATTCCCTTGATCTCCTTTTGTTGTCTTATTGCTTTAGCTAGAACTTCAGGGACAATATTGAAGGGGTATGGAGAGAGTTGTCAGCCTTGTCTTGTCCCTGATTTTAGAAGAACTGCATTGAGTTTCTCTCAATTTAATTTGATGTTGGCTGTTGTCTTGATGTATATTGTTTTTATTATGTTAAGATATGTTCCTGTTATCCCTGACCTCTCCAAGGGAAGTTGTTACAGTTCGGCTCTGGTTCCCTGGGAGTGTAACAACTCTGTTTCACTTAGCTAGGGGAAGGTCCTCCAATGGCCCCTGTTGAAAGTGTTACAGCCCTGATCTGCTCCTCTCTCTTCTGGCTCAGTAGAAAAGTTGTTGAGCGAAGTAAGGTCTTAACCATACCTCATTCAAGAGATTTATTGTCAAGGAAGAATCCAAGAGAGTGGCTGCCTCTGCCAGGGTGGAAGAGGACAGCCAGACAGCCACAAGCTGACCAGGCACAGGGCTCATATAGGGCTTCTTAGGAGCGGGAAGATTTCCATGGTGGGGATTGGTCAGATTTCAGTCCCTGAGCTCAGATTGGCTAGATCTCGACCTCAGGGATTGGTTGGTTTTCTGCTCAGGGTCAGATTTGGCTGTGGTTTCAGGGCCAAAGTGTGTTTCTTTCACTGGTCCCTTTTAGCCTTTTGGCTCTAATTTTAGAGCCAGGGTGTATTTCTTTCACTGGCTCCGATTCTAGGGACAAAGGGTATTCCTTTGGCACTGGTTTCAGGGTCAGGGTGCATATCTTTGGTTCTGGTTGCAGGGCCAAAGTGTGTTTCTTTGGCTCTGCTCAGAGTGTGTTTCTTTGGCAGGCCCTTTTCCCCACAGCCTGGAGGAGTGACCACTTTCACCTTCCTCCTCCATTTCCTATAAGCAGATTCTTTTTTGTTTGTTTGTTGTTTTTTTCCGAGACAGTGTTTCTCTGTGTAGCCCTGATTGTTCTGGAACTCACTCTGTAGACCAGGCTGGCCTTGGACTCAGAGATCCACCTGCTTCTGCCTCCAGAACATTGGGATTAAAGGCATGCACCACCGCTGCCCAGTTTATAAACCAATTCTTTTGGACCCTCCAGTTGAATAAGCTTGTGAGGTCAGATCCGGTCAATGAAGAAAAGACATAGGCACTATCTAAGGATACTTCCTGTTTCAGTGTGTTGTCTCAGGAGTAAAGTTTGCCTTGTCCAGACACTTCCATTGGAGTAGTGATCTCTTTCTTGCTATT